CATCATACACCACTCATCATACACCACTCATCATACACCACTCATCACGCACCACTCATCATCCACCACTCATCAAACACCACTCATCATCCAGTTAGCTCTAGTTTCAAGAGCTCCAGCTCGAGTTTACATGGGAGGCGCAGCGCTTTGAACCTCCATGTGCAGAGTTCGTGGCAGGCACAGCACTTTGTGAACCTCGAGGTGCAGATTTCGTGGCAGGCACAGCGCTTTGTGAACCTCCATGTGCAGAGTTCGTGGCAGGCACAGCACTTTGTGAACCTCGAGGTGCAGATTTCGTGGCAGGCACAGCGCTTTGTGAACCTCCATGTGCAGAGTTCGTGGCAGGCGCAGCACTTTGTGAACCTCGAGGTGCAGATTTCGTGGCAGGCGCAGCGCTTTGTGAACCTCCAGGTGCAGAGTTCGTGGCAGGCACAGCGCTTTGTAAACCTCGATGTGCAGATTTCGCGGCAGGCGCAGCACTTTGTGAACCTCCATGTGCAGATTTCGCAGCAGGCGCAATACAAAATGCATTTTCGAGAGATAGCGGACGCACGAAATGCTGCGTTTTTCAATAGAAAGGGTGGCTCTGAAGCTGGCAAGTCAATTGAACAACGTGTGCGAGACGGTCTCGGGTCATTCTTGGACCATGCTCGGATCATGCTCGGAATCGTCCCTCCATTGTGGTTCGAGTTTTCACTTGTTTCTTGAAGTGCAGAGTTCGTGGCAGGCACAGCACTTTGTGAACCTCCATGTGCAGATTTCATGGCAGGCATTTGTGAACCTCCGTGCAGATTTCGTGGCAGGCGCAGCGCTTTGTGAACCTCCATGTGCAGAGTTCGTGGCAGGCACAGCACTTTGTGAACTTCCATGTGCAGAGTTCGTGGCAGGCGCAGCACTTTGTGAACCTCCATGTGCAGATTTCATGGCAGGCACAGCGCTTTGTGAGCCTCCATGTGCAGATTTCGTGGCAGGCGCAGCATCTGTGGAGCTGGAAGCTGAGAACTGGCGACTTTGTAGCGCAACTTTAGTACACGGAGTATCTACAGAGCTGGAAGATGAGAACTGGCGACTTTGCAGTACAACTCTGTGGAGCTGGAAGACGAGAACTGGCGACTTTGTACAACTTTAGTACGTGGAGTATCTGCGGAGCTGGAAGATGAGAACTGGCGACGTTGTAGCGCAACTTTAGTACGCGGAGTATCTGGAGAGCTGGAAGCTGAGAACTGGCGACTTTTGTAGTGCAACTTTAGTACGCGGAGTGAGAACTGGCGACTTTGTAGTACAACTTTAGTACGCGGAGTATCTGCGGAGCTGGAAGCTGAGAACTGGCGACTTTGTAGTACAACTTTAGTACGCGGAGAACTGGCGACTTTGTAGTGCAACTTTAGTGCGCGGAGTATGTGCGGAGCTGGAAGCTGAGAACTGGCGACTTTGTAGTGCAACCTTAGTGCGCGGAGCAATCTGTGGAGCTGGAAGCTAAAAACTGGCGACTTTGTAGTGCAACTTTAGTACGTGACTTTGTAGTACAACTTTAGTACATCAGGGAGCGCAGACCTTGCACAGGTGGCGCTGTGTTGGTCAAAAGTCCGGAGCGCATGCGTCTGACTCAGGGACACGAGGGACACGCATGGTGGAAAGAACCGGCGCACTCCTATATATAGGTCAATTTTTCCTGCAGGAAACTTCCGGAACTACTTGTAGCTTCCTTACTCCCCGTAGAACGACCAGAAGCCCCTAGTAGTACCGTCCTTGCGCCTAGTAGCGATGCCAGAGGCCCCTAGTAGCGTCCTTTGTGACGCAAGTCCCCGGCACAAGTGGGAACTACGCAAGCTCAAAACCATATCGGCGTGCTCTTTTTTGGGCTTCGCGGGTGGGGGGTGAGGGGGGAGGGAGGTGCGTTGACTAAAAACGAGCCTGGAATTCCGCCTAACAAGCCTGAGAGAAAGAACAAGGCAAACGAAAAGGCAAGAAAAGAAGAGAAAGGTGCAAGGTGTAGGGGTGAAGGGTGGGGGTGTGTGGGGGGTAGTGGTGGCGGTGGTGGTGGTGTCTCCCAAAACGAGTGACAAAAGCCGTCCCCTGCTGAATCCCTGGCTTGCAAGCTGATAGCAATACCAGGAGCCCTTAGTAGCATCCTTGCTCGTCGTAGTACGGCCAGGAGCCTGCAGTGGTACCGTCCTTGCGTTTAGTAGCGATGCCAGGAGTTCGTAGTAGCGTTCTTTGTGATTCAAAACCTTAGGCACAGGTATGGAAACACACACAAACACACACGAAGCCGTACTCGGCGCACCCTCCTACTTGCAAGCTAGTAGCGAAGCCAGGAGCCCCTAGTAGCTTCCTGACTCCCCGAAGAACTACCAGAAGCCCCTAGTAGAACCGTCCTTGCGCCTAGTAGCGATGCCAGAAGCCCCTAGTAGCGTCCTTTGTGACACAAGTCACCGGCGCAAGTCGGGACACGGACACAAGCTCAAAACCGTTTCGGCGCGCTCTTTTTGGGGCTTCGCGGGTGGGGGGTGGGGAGGGGGAAAAGGAAGTGCGTTGACTAAACGAGCCTGGAATTCCACCTAACAAGCCTGAGAGAAAGAACAAGGCCAACGAAAAGGCAAGAAAAGAAGAGAAAGGTGCAAGGGGTGCAGGGGTGAAGGGTGGGGGTTTGTGGGGTGGGAAGTGGTGGTGGTGGTGGTGGTGGTGTTTGCCTGAAGGCGTGACAAAAGCCGTAATCGGCGCTCTCTTGACTAAAAAAGCCTCGTCAAACCTAAAAGGGCAAGAAAAGTTTCAGAAAACGAAAAGCAACAGCAGGAAGAAAAGAACAGAAACGAGAATACTTAGCTGCGCGCCTCTGTACAAGTGTCCAGCCTTGATTACTTAGCTGAAATCACATGTACATGTTCGAGATTCCAGACTGGAGTTAATCACAGTAAGCCCTGCGGCATTCAATCAGCAGTCTCGTGCAGTTCCGCAAATCAGTGGGATTGCAGAAAGAAGTTCAAGTGAAGGAAAGGTGCAATCAGGTAGGGTCCCCCTGGATCTGGGTCTATGCACATGCTGCGCCCCTCGGGGATCACACCACAGCCCTCAGTGGGACTCTGTGGCAACACACACTCAGAGTTGCTCGCAAGAGCTAAATTCAGGGTGAAGTTCCACGTTGCACTCATTAGCGCGT